ACACTTGATTTCCTTGCATGTGTTCCAATAAAATGTAGATATTTTGATCACCCTGTTCAGAGATGATGTGACATACCTCTGGAGCATTGGGATTTGTGTCCAGGCCTCCTGGTTCAGTGGTAGGGACACTAACACAGCAAGGCAGTTTATTGGTGTCTGCATAGTCATCAAATTGTAGCTGTGCTCTGATTTTTCTATAGCAGTTTCACCTGAAGTACATCCTCCCACAGGTACTGAGTCTCCTGATCAACAGCCTCTATTCTGAGGACAAGAAACCCATTAAGAAGATTCAGGACACAGACAAAGCTTTCAAACAAATGGAACAGGTGTCGCGGTTTCTGAAGGCAGCTGAAGATTATGGAGTCAACAAAACTGACATCTTCCAGACTGTGGATCTGTGGGAATGTATGTATGGGCAGTAATGGTACTTTTGAAGTCATGCCTTCTCTATTTAATGATGAACTTGGTGACAATCTGGGAGCATCTCCTAAAATGTTCTGAATTGTTATTTTGTGCTGGCTTTGGAAACGTTTACCTGTGGGTATTGTTGTTTATAACACACTCTTCTACAGTCATTAATTTTATCTCTTCACCCCCCCTCCCTTTCATCTTAAATAAGAGACACTTGTAAGTGAACTCAGTCTGGAGAATGGCACACTGTCCAGGCCTCCCAGATGAAGAGTAGCTTGGGTTCCTGTTGGTAGTCATTTTTTTTTCCCCTTCAGACACCAAATGTTCTCAAGGTGGGTGTGAAGGAATTGCAAATAACCAAAGTAACATCAGCAAATCAGCACTGTTCCTTCACTAATGAAATGAAGATGAGGCAAATCCACATAGCACAATAGTGACAGCCAGGCTGCATTCTACCATTGATCATTTTCAGCTTTAAAATACCCTCACCCCACGGTGAGAGCCAGATAGTTGGGTAGGGGAGAGTTTGAGAGGAGGGTTTGGTTTTTTTTTAATATATACTTTAAAACGTTGAGACGTGCAGGTTTTATATTTTACTTTTATTTTAAGACAGGAAATCCTATCTTCAAGATCCAAGTTCAGTTAGGTATACTCACTATTTTAAGAAGAGTTAAAGGGGCCTCGCATCTGTTGACACTCAATCGAAGCTGTTGCTGCTTCAGAAATCACTGTTTTTAAATTTGTCTCGTGACCTACTCGGGGATTGCAGTCCACGATTTGGGAAGCCCTGCATCATTGGCTATCCAATGAATATTACACACATGGTTGAAGTAAATGTCAACTCTTGACAAGTCTCTACTTTGAGTGTATTTAGCAATCCAGCCTACGACTTCTGCTGATATTTATTTTAATCTTCTCAACTTTATTTTTTGTAGTAAGAACTGCAGAAACTGGCAGTATTTTCTGGAATGTACAGGAATGTTTTTCAATACAACTGTAAAATTTCAGTGACTGAATTGATTCTTGTCTGCATATAATGCCTAATCCACCAACTGAGTAACCAGATTTTAAATAAGACTGCAGATATATATATCTGATTATATTGATGTACAGTAGAGTAAATAAACTTCTTAAGGTAAATAATCATAGTATCCCTGCAGTTTGGAAGCAGGTCATTTGGCCTGTCAAGTCCACACTGACCCTCCGAAGAGATTCCCACCCAGACCCATGCTACTATCCTATCCCTGTAACCATACATTTACCATGACCTGCACACCTTTAGACTATGGGAGGAAACCGGAGCACTTGGAAGAAACATAAGCAGAATGTGCAAACTCCACACAGACAGATGCCCAAGGCTGGAGTCAAGCCCAGATCCCTGGTGCTGTGAGGCAGCAGTGCTATAACCACTGAACCACCATGATAAATGTCATCCTTTTGCCCAAAATGCTTAATTTTCAGTTGAGTTTCCATTCAAACACATTTGTAGTGCTGGAAGCTGTCACTGGATATCCACTATCTTTTTGTTTCCTCTCTAAATAGCCACAAAAGTTTGCAGAATCCAAATGCTCTGTTTAAAATTCTGTCGCTGTTGGGTGCACCTCCTAAGCCAGTGTTTGTTTAGTGTGGCATCATGTGTCAATCCCATCCTGCTGGCTCAGTTTTGTATTGATGTAATATCTTCAGTGAACATGCTTAAAAGAACTTTTTATTTGCCTTACAGCAAAGGATATGGCTGCTGTTCAGAGAACCCTCATGGCTTTGGGAAGCATTGCTGTAACAAGAAATGATGGGCATTACCATGGTGATCTAAACTGGTTCCACAAGTGAGTAGGCATCTCCGTATGGTCAACTACAACAGGCTTGTTGCCACGACAGCTATAAACACAAAATGAGTGGTTGAGGGAGCAATTATTTGACTAACCACTTAAAATATATTCTCCCATGAGTGTAGAAATGGAGGAACTTGTGGAATTTGTAACCAAGTATATTCCTCTTGAATTATAATGAGCACTTGCTGGAATAAGTTATGCCATTGATCTTTTATGCATTAATCAAGGGTATATGCACAAGCATTTTTGAGCAGCATCCCTCTGAAATCTTTTGATCTGACAAGTAGGTGAATTATTCCATTTAAACACTCCATCATGGGCTCACAACCAAAACTAAGTGTGCATTATTTATTTGTATCCATAAAGTTGGAAATTGGTTAAAGTTAGACTAAAACATGTAACTTCAACATGTATCTCAATCTTTGCAGCAGCAGAAATTGATCCTGCATTGTAAAACCAAATTTCTACGCTGTCTCCAACCTTCCAATACCCCCACAGCCCTGTTTTTCAATTGCCTCAAACTAGATTTGAAATCTGTTGACATTCATGAGAACGCATTGTTTGCTTTTCAGATTATTCATTGATTGTGATCACTTTATATTCCAGATCTTATGACAGGATAACCAACCAGCGTAAACTTGTGGGTTGATGTAAGATTAGTTTTATTGAAATAGGTATTTTACTTGCATTAGGAAATGAGTAGTAGTTATTTTTTATATTATTTCTGCTACCTGCTGTAATGATTGGAACACAGTCAGCCAGGTGGACCTCAAAGAATGAGTTCCCTAATTGGACCAGGTTAACAGCCCCAATTAGGAAACTCGTATTCTATGATGTCCACCTGGCTGACCTCATTCCAATCATTGCACCTACAACTGGGGGGGACAAAAGAGCCTAAGCACAACTGTGAATACCAGTGGTGCATTACGTGGAAGTCATTGTACAAACTTCATACACATTATTCAGCCCTAAGTAAACCACACAACCAGCATTAACCTGGTTTTCTCCTGTACTCGTGGTGTATTTTACTTGGGGGGTGTGTTGAGGCATGCCCAATCTTTGGCTTTCGAAAACCAATGTAACAAATGATATTTTTATTTTGAGTTTTTGTTTTCTTTTGGAATGTTTTAAAAATGTTGAGACACCAAATCTTTGGGGTGCTGGACAAATCAATGAGTGATCTAGTCTAGGTTTTGTTTAACGAGATTTCCAGTTGTTGTGGATAAGGACTGGGGCAAACCTTTCAACACTGCGTAAAGGTTTTTCTTCACTTCACACCCTGTCCTCTGCCTGGTAACAGCATGTACAAAATGAAACCAGTTGAATCCAGACTGCAACATGGAGTTTTTAGCAGTAGCTGTGACATGACTTTATTTTACACCTTTTTTATAGTCATTTTTTTATTTGAATCTTTTTTGTTTGGGATCTAGATGAGCTTCTACATAGAACTTTATTTTACAATCTGTAATCTGCAATAGTTTGAACAGTAGAGTGCCTTAATCACTGCTTGGCATTCTTTTTAGATAAAATTTTAATTTGGTTCACTTCAAAATTGTTTGGAGAGCAATTCCATTAAACCATGGAGATTTTTGGAATTGTTCTTTTGTGGAGCCTCTGCCTTGGGTGTGTTTTATCGGCTGTAACTCTCTCTCTGCTTTTTGTCCGTTTCAGGAAAGCACAAGAGAATAAGCGAGAGTTCACAGAAGAACAACTGGCCCAGGGGAAGAACATTATTGGCCTGCAAATGGGAAGCAACCAAGGAGCGTCGCAGGCTGGGATGGTTGGCTATGGACAAACCAGACAGATCATTAGCTAAATAACAATATCGATTGAACTCTTTCTCTCTGTAAAGCATGAATTTACCATTTCAAAGTCAACAATAAGTCCAAACAGCTCAACACTAAACCTTCAATGACCTAAATTGAGAGATATAGATGAGTAGTAGTTATTTATTATTTGGCAGTTTTAAAATAAATGCATTTCTTATCTTAACAACAGTTTTGAGTTTTTAGACCCCTTTTGAAATGGGCTTTAATTTGGAATGATTTGAAAGACAAAAAAAAAATCTACATGCCCACCCTGGACTGCCAAGAACTGCATGTCACATTGCTAACTTGTAATTTCAACCATCTTTGTGGAATTGTGCAAGTGTATTAGAGCGTGTTGGCAAGGCTTATTGTTCATGTGGCTTAACCAGTCTGCTTTATTTTTTTTTTTAATGTCAATCTGCCTAGTTACTAAAAAATGTACATTTTCAAAAAGAGCTATAAAAAATGTTTTAAACAAGTCATTATAATTTGAAAGACATTTTGGAATAATTGAGCAAAGCATGAATTTCAATAAAATAATAAAGAAGATTTAATGTTTTCTGTGTAAATGGCCAAAGAAATTCAAAACAAACTCCTGAAATGATTACCTTGCCATTCCAACAATTTTTTTTTTTAATTTTTAAAACTAGTTTTTGCTGTTTACTTTGTTGCATTTGATTGTTACCTTCCCAAAATTCACCCTCTTGCTCATCATGGACACTGGGGGATGTTGTTTACTTGCTGGTAAACTTTGATTTCCAAAAAATTATCCAAGTTTACTATAAGTGAAATATTTTTTAAAAAATAACTTGCACAAGGAGTGGAGAAAGAAAGGTTAACTAGCAACATGCAACTCTGATGCTAAGCAACAATTGTATCTACGGTGGGAGCAGTGAATAGCTATAGAGTTAGTTAGTGGGGCTAATCTGTAATTTTTTGGTTTTCTTAGCAGGTTTCTTTATGGGAAAGATCCATTTATGGTCATAAGTGCAAGTTTCTAAAACAAGTCTTGTATAAAATGTCCCTACTGAGAATTACTCTTTAATTATGTTGTACATTATTTTTGTTAAAACAAATTCTGAATCATTTAGCCCTAAATTTTGTACATTTGTCATTTTGAAACCATAACAACTTAAATAAAAGTTTTGAGATGGAGAATTGATGGCATCTTTATTAATCAGGTAATGAATTCTGACACTGTCCTTCAAATGTTGATGTGAGAGATTTGATTGTTCCAGCCTGGGCTGTTTCATGGGGTGACCAATATAGGTTGTGTAGAGAAAGATGCATGGAATTACTGAACTGTTTACCACCTATCCGAACTATTGAAATTTTCATTTAAGGAGAAAAAATTACCTACACTAGGGAGATTATACAAATCTCCCACTGAAGTAATTCTTTGAAATAACTGCTGTATTTTCTATACACTTAATTTGTACACGGCAGGATTCCACAAATAGCAACATGTTTGCTGTCAGACAATGTGTTCTCACTTGTTTCCTTGCATTTTTCCGATGTAACAATCAAACTCTCTAAGAGCTGAAAACGGTGACAATTTGAGGAATCAGTATCGGCCAAAGCATTAGGGAGGCTCAAAGCACCTTCAATGGAAATTTCAGAAATGAGTCTGGAACTCGTGTGCGTGGTATTCTAACAAAACCTTTTTAATTCGACAGGTTTGTAAATCTTACAAGCTGTCAATTTCTAGCTGTCCATCAACCACCTCCTTTCTGTGGCTCATAACTGGTTTTGAGTGAGTGCAAAATATTTATTGATTGATGCTATAACACATGACATATGAAAAACCACACTCATTTATATATTGCTTTAACTCATCCAATATTTCGTGCAGTATCTATTCCCAAATCCTTTGAAAAGCGTCTATGTTCATGTAAACAACACTTGTATTTTTAGTCAAGTTAATCCCTCAATAATTTGAAAACTTTGAAGAACAGACTTTATTAACTTCTATTTTTCCAATTAAAGCAATTGGTTGCAACATTAATTATCTTTGGGCAAAGTTGCACTTCAATCAATCATTGCTAATTTCCTTGCACTTTCCATATTTAACTGTCAGCACTGAGTCTTTAAAAGCTATGCTTATTTTTCAGTGACACTTCAAGAACATCCTGTTTACTTTGGAAAATCTGTTGCTGTGCAATTAAAGGAAGCTTAATTTACTAGCCCTCTACTGTGCATACCCTGAGCAGTTATGAGAGGAGGCTCAAAATTACCAGTTTGAGCACAAAAGTCTTAGCTGATATTCAAGTATTGCATTGTTGGAGGTGGGACCTTTTCAAATTAGTCCATAAATAGGGGCCTTGTCTGCTCTCGGAGGAGGATGTTACCATGATATCTGAGTGCAGAAGTTCATCCTGGTCAACATTTACGCTCCACCAACAGGATGAAAACAGATAATTGTGTTATATCATAGAATCCCTTCTGTGAGGAAGCAGGCCATTTCACCCATCAAGTTTACACTGAACCTCTGAAGAGCATTCCACCCAGAACCAACCCTCTACTCTGTCCCTGTAACCCTGCATTTGCCATGGCTAATCCACCTAGCCTGCACATCCCTGGGCAGTATGGGACAATTTAGCATAGCCAGTTCACCTAACCTGCACATCTTTGGACTGTGGGAGGAAACTGGAGCACCTGGAGGAAACCCATGCAGACATGGGGAGGATGTGCAAACTCCACACAGTCACTCAAGGGTGGAATCAAACCCAAAGTGCTGTGAGGCAGCAGTGCTAGCCACTGCTGTGTTATCTGTGGGAGTTTGCTATAATCTAAGATCTGGGTTTCCTAGTGCATGAATTGCAAAAGTATTGGATGGAAGTACCGCAAGTAATCAAGAAACTTAATAAGTTTGTTGTGAGGGGGATAAAATGTGAGATTAGCGAGGTTGTGCTTCAATTATACAGGGCATTGGTGAGACAGCATCTGGAGGACTATACACAGTATTGGTCACTGCACTTCTAGAAGGATGCTAATTCACTGGAAGCAGTTGTGAATGAATAAGATTGGTGTTGCAAATGATGGGTTTTGTTGCCCATAATTTGTGAGAATATGTAGATCTGTGCATACTGGTAGATGATTGCTAGAAAGTCCTTTGGCTTCTACAATGTAGAGGGTCTCACATGTTCATCCCAAGGACTCATATTGGCATTTGAGATGCGTAATGCCAGCGTACATGTCAGACTGGTTGTAAGCAGTTAGAGTATCTTGTGTTCACTGCCCTACATTGTGCAAGCTTCCTGAGAGGATACACATTTTAGTCCAATGGCCTCTCGTGGAACATAGCTTGCAAATGTCCTGAAATGCTGAACACTGTCTTGGTGAGTGAGAGAAACCATATCCCATACAAGATTTGGATGTCGACTAATGTGTCAATGGCTACAACATCAACATTGTTACCTATTGCCAATCTCCTACATTTTCCCCTCAGTTGAGGTAGAATGTTATGAGTTGAATGGTGGAGCGAACTTAAGAGGCGAAATTGTCCACTCCTTGTTTTTCATAGCGTGCAATTGGGGAATTTCAAAAGAAGCTATTGGTTTCAATTCTGGGTCAGGCCAGGTTTCTTGAAGTTTTACTCAGATCAAGGAATGGATTTCAGCCAAGTGGCTGTTCTGGGGTATAAGGATTGTGGCAAAACTTCAGATTGTTTAAAGAGAAAGGGCAAGTTCGTACTTATTATGAGCAGAACCATGGGAATAGGCTGGTTGCTGGAATGCCTAGATTGAGTGTTTACACAAGGACAATGCTGGTACAAAACCCATGATAATGATCAATATTCAGTTTAATTTCTGCTGGACTTCAGACTGGTATGAGCTAATAAACTGAAGATAAAACTACAGGGTGTCTGAATACTCTGATGTGCAATGTTAAAATAAGCATGATTGGTTCTGTATGCAACAGTCTTACCCAATATACGGCTCTGAGCTTAGAGTTGCTCTCATTACTTCATCTATATTGGAACTGTAGTAAGTATTATTCACATTTGGGAGAACAGCCATTGATTTCTGATCATTCCTGGTTTTATCTGCAATATTGGAATCCCACTCAGTGGAAAGATAAATTATAGAACGGGTGCATGTACAGAATGAGCTGCCAGAGGAAGTGGTGGAGGTTGGTACAACTACAACATTTAAAAGGCATCTGGATGGGTACATGAACAGGAAGGGTTTAGAGGGATATGGGCCAAATGCTGGCAATTGGGACTAGTTTTATATAGTATATCTAAATAAATAGATAAATATGGAGTTGTGTTTTTGTTCTGGAGAGTCTTATGCATGGTCGGCTCTGGAGAAGCTTTTTTTTTGGAGGAATTTATTGAAGAGTTATCATTTTTATTCAGTTAATCAGCTACGTGGTTGATTTTATTTAATTTTTATGGTTGATGTATATATTCTTAATTTTTTTCTGTTTTAACATTATTTTCTGTAGGTAATGAAAGGTGGTTTATTTTATATATAAGGTGTTACTGAAACATCTTTTTCTTCTTTTAGGCTTAATATTATTAAGGCCATGTATAAGGTACAGAGTGAGATGGCTAGTAGATTTAGAGAAGTTGTTACCCAGCAGGATCAGTCAGATAGATGGGTGACTGTCAGGAATGGTAAGAAGTTCAAAAGTCTTTGGTGGCTATTCCTCTATCAAATAGATATTTGGTTTCTGGAACAGTTGAAGGGGATAGTCTCTCCAAGGAAAAAGGAAGGGTCTGTCAGTTACTGGACACTTGGAACAATTCTTATGTTATGTAGCGTTTAATAAGATTTAATAGAATTATTATTATAAGGGAGTCTCCTGTCAGGGGCACAGACAGGCGATTCTGTGGCAGCGAGTGTAAATTTAGTGTGGTTTGTTGCTTTGCTGGTGTGAGGATAAAGGACATTTCTAAATGTTTCAAACATATTGTTAAAGGTGAGATTGAGAAGCCAGAAATTATTGTACACATTGGTAGGAATGAGATTTTTAGGGAAAAGTTTAAAGCAGTGCACAGTGAATATGAGATGTTGGGTAGAAGATTTAAAAAACCATAAAAGTAGTGATTTCTGGTTTACTCCTGATGCCAATATCAAACAAGGGAAGGAATAAAAGGTTAAAGGAGATAAATCAATGGCTGAGGAACTGGTGTACTGTTCAGGGATTCAGGTTTTTGGACAATTGGAATGTCTTTTGGGATAGAAAAGACCTGTTCAAAAAGGATGGCTCCAACCTAAGCTGGAAAGAGACCAATATCTTAGCAGGGAGATTTTATACTGATCGAGAAGGCGAGTGGAGGAATTTGAAGTAGCAGGGTAAGTGGAAGGATTGGTGGGGTAAGTTCTGAATGTGAGGTGAGCACGTCAATTAGAAAGGAAAACGAGAGAGTCAGAGTATGTAGTAACTCTGAAGAACTAAATTGAAGTTATGTCAATGCAAGGGGCCTTACAGGTAAGGCAGATGAACTCAAGGTATGTTTAAGAACGTGGGATTGGGACATCATAGCTAATACAGAACTTGACTGAGAGATGGACAAGACTGGCAACTGAATATTCCCATTTTTAGATGCTATAGGAAGTATAGAAAAGGAGGCAAGAAAGGAGGGTGGTATGGCATTTTTGATTAAGGAATACATTACTGTAACTAGGAAAGATATTTCTGAAACATCATCCAGTGAAAATATCTGGGTAGAAATTACAAATAAGAAAGGAAAGATCTCTTTGGGATTGTACTATAGGCCCCCCAATAGTAAGAGAAATTGAGAAACAAATATGTAGGGAGATGTCAGAAATATGTAAGCATAATAAGGTTGTAATAATGGGGGATTTTAATTTACCAAACTTTGACTGGGATTACCATAGTGTTAAAGGTTTGGATGGTGAAGAATTTGATAAATGTGCTTAAGAAAATTTTCTTTCTCAATATGTGGATGCAACTACTAGAAAAGGAACAAAATTAGACCTTTTGGGCAATAAGGCAGGGCAGGTGATTGAAGTAAAAGTGGGGAAACACCTTGGGCCTAGTGATCACAATTCTATTAGTTTCAAAATGGTTATGGAAAAGGATAAACCTTCTATAAAAGTTAATGTTTTTAATTGGAGTTAAGCAAATTTTAATGTCTCACAAACTTGATTGAGTTTTTTGAGGAAGTTACTGAAAAGATTGATGAG